AGTTGGAATTCCAGGCAGTCACAAGTTCTCTTCTTTAAGTCCACAATGAATTCGATTCCTTCACTATTTATTCTAAACAACATTGAGTCAAGGTTGAACACCTAACAAGGAATAAAAAATTAAGACAAGCTATATTAGTGTATTTTTGCTTCAAAAAGAAAAAGTATGAATTTTTTTAAATGTAAGCAGTAAATCGGTGCAACAAATATAAAAAAGCTAGAAGTTTAATAAATATACTCACAAACATTTTGCAAGCCAAGTCCATCTTCTTAGTCATCTCTTCTTCTGCCCATATTGATACTCTATGAAAAGTTTCATTTGCCTTTTTTCTCCGTTCGTAAAACCACTCTCCCAACTTTTCTTGGATGAAATCTAACATTCTTAAAATAGGCATTTCTCTCCCTTTTAGTAAAACGGAATTCATTGATTCTACCATGTTTGTTGTTAGCATATCATAACGTCACCGTGGGAACCACAATCGAGCCCATCTCTCGGGAGGCTCTTCTATTATATAATTGTATGTTTTCTTGTCAATACTTTTGAGTTGGGACATTAACTTATTAAAATCTTCACGTTTGTATGACCTTGCAGCACTTTGAAAAAGATTTATTACCGTGGCTTTTGCATGTCTTTGCTTTAAATTTTTCTCAAAGTGATAGAGGCAGATACCATGGTGAGCTTCAGGAAAAACTTTTCTAATCCCATTTGCGATCGATTGGTTTCTATCTGACAAGAAAACCAGTTCACGACGGACTTGAATTGCTTCTCATTTCCCCGAAGAACCAAATGTATGCCTCATTATTTTATGATTCTGCTACACCAAAACATAGAGGAAAGATTTGATTGTTTACATTCTTTGATACAGGAACAAATAGAACACCACGATATTTGGACTTTAAAAACGTTGCATCTACTGCAATAACGGGTCTACAGTAGGACCAACCAGCTACTGATGCCGCAGGAGCAAAGAACATGTAAGCAAATCTGTGCAGTGAAACACAAAAAAAACAAATCAAAAGTTGTGAATTTTTTCAAATAGGAACATTTGAAACTTCAGGCTGATGGTTAGTATTGTTTTGCTTACCTATTTTGCGCATCTCTTTTTATGCTTGTGTACGTTCCTGGGTTTTTGGCCACCATCATGTGTAGGTATGAAGGAAGAATCTGGTAGTTCTCTTCAGGTGTTCCCCTTATGCAAGCAACAACTTTTTGAATAGCACGCCATGCCTTGTGATAACCAATGCCAATTCCAAATTTCTTTTTCATTTCATTTTCTACAAAGGCTGGTGTAACCTCTATCTTTTTGTCTCGAACATGTTCTATAATTTGTTCACTTATAAAATTTGATGTAGCATGCTTCTGATCTGATTTTCTTGCATCAACCGAGCATTCATGGATGTTATGATATTTTATCACCCTGAACAGTGTGGAATGTTTTATTCTGGTAGCACGTACATTCCAACCACATTTGTCCACGATGCATTTCAGCTCGTATCTCTTGGAACATGATCTAACAGCAGTGAATTCAACTTTCTGGTTTATCTCCAAGCTGCAGAAAAATTTAGTCATGTTTTGTTTGTTCTCAAAGATTGATCCAACTCTTACTTCCTCAGGCAACACATCGTGCCTAAGTATTTTACATGGTGGAGATTCTTTCACCTTTCTCCTCACTCTTTTTCTTGATTTCTGAGAAGTACAAGAACTTTCAGCAATTTCTTCAATTCTATCTGATGTTATCGGTATAAGCTCCATGTTTACTTCATCTTCATTGTTGCTTATCATTGCAGAAGGTAACAAAAAGGTTTGTTGGATTGTGTGTTGGTTGTCAATTTGCATTATTAGTTGTCCTTCTTCTTCTTGGTCATCGACAAACTGGTATGAATTTATTAGAGGAGGGGGTAATTGTTGCAGCACTATGTATTCTGAAGCAACTGTAATGTTAGAAGGTTGTTGCCCGTTGTCTACTTCCATTATTGGTTGTCGTACTTCATGTTGATAGTCAGCAAAAGGTTCTGAATCTAACGCATATGCAAGAGATTGGTTGAATGCTGCAGATTCTGAAGGTTGTATTTTTTCGATGACGAAATGGCAATTCTTGTAGGCTGAATCAGTTGTAAGCAAATGTATACACGTACTGAGTTCTTCATCTGAAGTTACAAGCATTCCTTTGCTTGTATTTAGTTTGATATCAAACCATACTTTTAATGCATATCTAGTTGAATCAATATTTGCAACTTCACTAATTTTCTTCAGGAAAGTATTGAATGATATGTCCTTATTAAGTAGAACAAGTTTTGTATCATGATCCAAGTATTTGAAATCAGGAGTCCAACTCCCATTGAAAGTTATAACAACGCAAATCGAACTCATCCTGTAGACTGTAGTTTTGGTTAAAAGTCATAACAAAAGTGTCAAATGTAGGACAAAAACTTCGGCTCATCACTAAATACACCAAATAAACAAAAGCTTTACGACAAATACTATAGAGTCCAGGACAAAAACTTCAGCTTATCAATTGCTGAAGTTTTTAAAAATGAACTAAATAACTTCAGCACATTGGGCTGAAGTTATTTGAAAAAGCTTTAGGACAAAAACTATCGAGTGCAGGAGAAAAACTTCAGCTTATCAAGTGCTGAAGTTTTTAGAAATGAACTAAATAACTTCAGCACATTGAGCTGAAGTTATTTGAAAAAGCTTTTGGACAAAACCTATCGAGTGCAGGAGAAAAACTTTAAAAACTTCAGCTTATCAAGTGCTGAAGTTTTTTGAAATGAACTAAATAACTTCAGCACATTGAGCTGAAGTTATTTGAAAAAGCTTTTGGACAAAACCTATCGAGTGCAGGAGAAAAACTTCAGTTTATCAAGTGCTGAAGTTTTTTGAAATGAACTAAATAACTTCAGCACATTGAGCTGAAGTTTTAGAAAATGAATTCAACAAACTTGAGCACGTTTTAGCATTAATTGCATAGTACACAGGAGTGAACATAATAAAGACAATTAAAGTAGTAATTATATTCCGTTGGGGTTATATGTTAGTGTAATAATTACATTCCTATCACTTTCATGCATGTTTTTCTTTAGACAATGTTTAAAATTCCTCTTTGCCTTTTCATATACCATGCACAAGTTTTTTTCCCCTATAAAAGCACGCTATACTTTGAGAGTTTATTCACTCAAACAAATATATTCTAGCAGACATAATATACAAAAAGGAGAAAAATGGATGTTGTCATCAGGCAAATAGTAGAAGAAATCAAGCAAGACATTATAGAGGCCTTTGAGGTGAAACTGGATGAGCTCATAGACAAATACGATAGGGAGCTCGGAGAAATCAACAACAAGCTCGATACGCTTGTGATGTATGCAAGATTTGATAATCTTGCTGATGAAGATGCTCGTCCATCTGGTAGTGACAACGACGATGACGACGACGATGATGATAATATGGACAATTAGTTTTTCTTTTTGTTATTTTTGTTATTTATGTTAATTTATCGTTTTAATGTTTAATGAAATGTTAAGTTTTTGTTACAAGTTTTTTGTGCGTTTTTTCTAATATTAATTCTATTCAATATTAATTTTTAATTTATCCAGTGTAGGAGGAAAACTTCAGCTCCTGTTGCTGAAGTTTTTAAATAATAACTAAAAAACTACAGCACATAGGCCGAAGTTTTTGGTGCAATATCAATTTTTAATTTAGCCAGTGTAGGAGGAAAACTTCAGCTCCTCCTGCTGAAGTTTTTAAATAATAACTAAAAAACTTCAGCACCTTGGCCGAAGTTTTTGGTGTAATATGATTTTTTAATTTAGCAAGTGTAGGAGGAAAACTTCAGCTCCTCCTTCTGAAGTTTTTAAGTAATAAGTAAAAAACTTCAGCACCTAGGCCGAAGTTTTTTGATGCAATATGAATTTTTTAATTTAGGCAATGTAGGAGGAAAACTTCAGCTCTGCCTGCTGAAGTTTTTAAGTAATAACTAAAAAACTTAAGCAACTATGCCCAAGTTTTTTGATGCAGTATGAAATTTTAATTTATGTTTTATTATTTTTTACCCAGTGTACGAGGAAAACTTCAGCTTTTAATTATTAACAAAAAAACTTCAGCAACTATGCCAAAGTTTTAAAACAATCATATAATGTTTTAATATAATTTCTTCTTCGATGTGTTATTTGCCAGCTCGTTAACTAATAACTTCAGAATAGAATGTTAGAATTCATCGTCAAATAGATTTAGAATTGCAAATTCAGCATATAATTCAATCAATCAATCAGAAAACATATAATTCAAAAACTATTTTTGAATTCTGGAGATGAATTTGAATACTTACAATGTATTTGAATTTGAATTTGAATTTGGAATTTGATATGGAATTTGAATGCGAGACGCGATTTCCGGAGAGACGGGCTGATGGAGGAGATACGGAGGAGATCTGGAATTTGAATCTGGGAATACGGAGGAGAGACAGACCTTTATATGTTTTTGAAGGGGTATAATGGTCATATTATTACGGATTTTTTGTTAGTTGGTTACGAAATCAATAGTTTTTAAAAACAGGGTGTAGGTTAAAAGGTGACATAAAAATAGGATACGACTGCAAATCGCCCTGTATGAAACCTCGTCTCGGTTTAAACTCATCTCAGGCTGATATTATATAGTATAAAATAAAAAGTTATATTTTCTATTCCTAAAAGGCTAAATGACGTAAAGCTAGCCAATTTCATGATGATACCTCACCGTACAAAAAAAAATGCTGGAGAAAAAAAAATGAAAAAGGAGAGTTATCATACACCAAATGATAACTAAGGAGAAGAGAATTACAACTAGAAGGAACCATATGGGCCTTTAACTTTCTTTATTTTGGGCCACAAAATTACAGGCCCAAGATTCCATTTTTAGCTCAGAATTTGAAGCATCTGAAGTGGAATAGCGCCAAAAAGAACAGATTATTTTTTGTGACAGATATTTTCAGTTAATCTCTTTTCTTATCCCTCTAGTCAGTAACCCTTTAGTAGCATAATTGAAACTTCAGCAAAAAATTTAAAAAAAAAATATGAGTTGTTCTTTGAATCATTTACCTGCAATTACTTTGAAAAATGGTTCAGTACACAGAATTTCTAAAAGGGTGTCTGGTTCTATGTTGAACACAAGAGCTATGGCTAAAGAACTGTACTTTAACCATGATGGTTCTACAACAAAGAAACTTCTGGTCATTATGTGTTCTTCTTTTTTTTTTTTGGCTATATTTTTGTTGATTTTCAAGATTTTGAGTTGGGTGAAATTATTGTGCAGGCAGGTGTGGATTTGGTAGCAGAGTTGGTTGGAGTGACAATGGGTCCAAAGGGAAGGAATGTAGTGCTTGGAAATAAGTATGGTCCTCCCAAGATTGTTAATGATGGTGAAACTGTTCTTAAAGAGGTACATTACAAGCATTAACAACATTGTTTTTAGTGGCGAAGCCAGAAATTTTGCTAAGAATGTTCAAGATTTAATATATATATATATATATATATTTGAATTAAATATAGTATTATTTTCTGGCGAAGGGTATTTAGAACAGACCACCCTTCAACATGTGTAGCTATGCCTTTGATTAGGGGCGGAGCCATAGTGTTGGTTGTGGGTTCGGCCGAATCCATTAACTTTTGTTCAAACTTTATATTTGTATTAATAAATCAAGATTATAATCCTGAACCCATAAGGTTCAAATTCTAGCTCCGCCTCTGCCTCTGATAGTTATATGCTTACATTTGATGGGCCTATGGTATTCAGGGTTTTAATTGTCTTCTTGTCTATGGAGATATAGAGGTGTGCCATCTTAAAAGATCACTTCATTCTGCATAGTGGAAGTTACTATTGTTGCTTGTTTGAATTTCAATGTGTCATGTCTTCTCTTGACATTTTCTGGGGCCTACTGCCTACAGTTGATGCTTCTTCCATTCTCCTACTTGTTCTGCTTTCTCCACCAATTTTGGTTTTGTCATTTCTGGAACTTATAGGGGAACTCTTAGTTAATTGTCCTCTCCTTTTATTTTTTATTTTTTTAATGATGTGATGCACATAGGCCTATTTATATTACAATATAAACCAGGTATATAAGCAAAAAGTTATAAACAAATTGTACCAAGTATATCCATGTAGTAATTGTACATAGGTATTTTTGAATGCTGATTGAAGATAGCTTAAAGTGTTTTCAATAGTAAATTTAGGTATAAAGTCAGGTTTTGAGCTTCTCTAATTCAACTTACTTTCGAATTCGATGGACTAGTGATGCTTCATGTTTTTCCTTTTCCACCTGGCTATCATGCACTGAATATACCCGTTGTTTTCAGTACAGATTCAGCTGGAGGATCCTTTGGAAAATGTCGGAGTAAAATTGGTTAGGGAAGCCGGTGCCAAGACTAATAATCTTGCTGGTGATGGTTGCACAACATCTATAGTGCTTGCTCGGGGTCTGATTGCTGAAGGTGTCAAGGTTGAATAGAATGGAATAACCTAGACTGCTTTCATGTTTCAGTTATTTCTGGTATAATGGTGATTACTTATTATCTTTCTCTAGGTTACTGCAATGGGCGCAAATGTTGTCCAAGTGTCTCGCGGAATTGAGAAAACTGCTAAAGCCCTCGTTTCTGAGCTCAAGCTGATGTCCAGAGAGGTATGAGGAAGGACAAATTACTTTCCCTTTTTGATCTTGACGGAGAAACAGATTTGTCTAGGCAAGAATATGCTTAAAATCGGCTTTCTTATTCAAGATGTATGAGGATGTACTATCTTCAACATCTCTGTTAACAATGACCAAACCGTGCAGGTTGAGGATCACGAGCTGGAAGACGTTGCTGCTGTTAGTGCTGGCAACGATTATGCCATCGGGAGCATAATTTCGGAAGCTCTTAGACAGGTTGGAAAAAAAGGTGTTGTCACAATTGAGAAAGGGAACTATACTGAAACCAATCTACAAGTTGTAGAAGGAATGCAGTTTGATCGTGGCTATTTGTCACCTTATTTTGTAACTGATCGACGAAAGAGGATTGTGGAGCTTCATAATTGTAAGGTAGCAACTGCTTCTGTTAAGCACTAGTGCCTGTTGTATATCAGGTATTTATAAGGGAATTATTTTTATTTTTTTTGTTGCAGTTGCTTTTGGTTGATAAAAAAATTACAAACCCGAAGGAGTTGGTAAAAATTTTGGACAATGCAGTAAAGGAGAAATACCCGGTTTTGATAGTTGCAGAGGGCATTGAGCAGGATGCTTTGGCTCCAGTAATTAGGAACAAACTCAGGGGTGTCCTAAAGGTAGCTGCTATAAAAGCTCCATCTTTTGGGGAGCGCAAAAGCCATTGCTTAGATGACATCGCTATCTTGACTGGAGGTAGTGAAATATGCATAGTAAAACAGAAATTGTTAGTTGGTTATGTCTGTTACCTCATTTCTCTTCATGGTTTTTGAAGAGATGTTATGGCTCAAAGCTTCAGTCTTCTTCATGGATGAACCAACAGAACTACATGAATCTTGTCAATATTTTGTAAGGGCAGCCCGGTTCACTAAGCTCTCGCTATGCGCGGGGCCTGGCGAAGGGCCGGACCATAGGGGTCTATTGTATGCAGCCTTACCCTGCATTTTTGCAAGAGGCTATTTCCACGGCTCGAACCCATAACCTCCTTGTCAATATTTAGTATTCTCTAAATTCTTTTAATATCCACATACTTAATTCATCGCGTCTCTGCAGGAACTGTGATCAGAGACGACATGGGATTGACTCTTGAAAATGCTCACAAGGACTTGTTGGGAACTGCTTCAAAGGTGGTGATTACTAAGGACTCTACATTGATAGTTACTGATGGAAATACTCGAGCGGCTGTTAGCAAGAGGGTTTCTCAGATACAAAAGCTTGTTGAGGTGTGTTCTTTAAAATCCTGCAGAATGTAGTAGAGTTAAACAGCTGTTTAGTTGATAAGTCATTTGATTTTGCAGAACACAGAAGAAAATTTCCAAAAGAAGATCTTGAATGAAAGAATTGCAAGATTATCTGGTGGTATTGCCATCATTCAGGTAACAAAAGATCTATCTGCCCCAGAATTTTGTCAATCTATTATAAATATTTTTGATACACAAAGTATATTTGATTGTGTAAGTTGAAATGTAGGTGGGAGCACAAACACAAGTTGAGTTGAAAGACAAACAACTAAGGATTGAGGATGCCCTCAATGCCGCAAGGGTAATTTTCTATTCTCCTAATACTTAAAAGCCATGGTTGATTACACATGATCGATTATGATTTATGAAGTTCTTTTCCTTTTTTTTTGGATGTACTATAAACAACCTTACCACTTGTCATCCCTAATACTTCATATAAATTTTTTTACTCTCAAAATCACGAGGGGGGAGGGGTGTTAGAATCGAAATAATCAGGTGTCAAGGGGTAGCTAACAAAGCAAACCAGTGACCAAATTCAGATCGCCAGATAATGTAAGGGACATGGCCTGACCCACTAGATAAACACTCATCTTTCAAAAGTACTTTTGATGAATGGTAAAGGCGGATTTCGGCTTTTATGTTGGTGGATGCGAGACGCCAACGCATCCACAACTCCTTTGTAACAATTGGTACGAATTTAGCTTAAATTTTATATTATTAGAAATTTCTCACCTACATATCTATAATTCAAGTTGAAGGCAATGAATGGGTGCGCCAATCGCGCTGCCACATTGTGCATCTGACCCTGACTATACAGTAAGGATTTTGACGTGAGTTTTGTTTTAAGCGCTTAAGATAGGATATAGCCAAACTCATTCCTGGGATTTATTCCACTCTAGTAGGATAAACTCGATTTATTTGATCTTATATCTAATCCTATTCTATGAGGTGCTATCAAATATTTCTTAAAGAGATAAATTCTTCAAAGCAGTAAGTTTCTCTACTTTGCCTGCTCAGGCTGCTACTGAGGAAGGAGTAGTAGTGGGTGGTGGCTGTTGTCTTCTGCGACTATCGTCAAAGGTGGATACTATCAAAGAAATGCTAGACAATGACGATCAGAAGGTTAGTTACTACGTTATAGTAAAGGTTCATAATCTAGATTGTTCTTAGTTTAATTTTTGAAAGCAATTTTCTTTTCGTTAAACTATCTCACTCCTTAGTTTCTTTTTCTGCTTGCTTTTGATCAGGAGGATTAGATATTTGTGTTTTCTCCAACTGGTGCTGCTTTTGTAATTTGCATATCTGATCCCTAGACTGACAGTTCCCTAACTATCGCAGATAGGAGCTGATATTTTTAAAAGAGCGCTTTCCTATCCTGCAAAACAGATAGCAAAGAATGCTGGTGTAAATGGGAATATTGTTGTAGAGAAGGTACCTTTGAATGTTGTGTCATTTTTGTACAGTTTGTTTCAGCCAATAAAGTTATTAAACGGGAATACATCACCTGGTGGTTAACTTGGAATTTTTAACATATGTGCAGATTTTGTCAGTCGATAACATGAAATATGGATATAATGCTGCAAGAGACAGATATGAAGATTTGATGGCTGCCAAAATTTTGGATCCTGCAAAGGTAAGATAATCGATTTTTGTCCAAGGTGAAGGGGAAACATCCTTGACTTCCACATTCTCCAGCAAATTATATCTTGTAGTATGGTAGGTGAAGAAATCTTGAAAAACTTCTTGAACTCTATCTGTAAGCTTGCCTGCAGTCTTTGAGTCTTCTCCACGACAACCAGAAAAAAAAGGATAGCCCGGTGCACTAAGCTCCCGCTATGCGCGGGGTCCGCGGAAGGGCTGGACCACAAGGGTCTATTGTACCCTGTATTTCTGCAAGAGGCTGTTTCCACGGCTCGAACGCATAGTCCAGTTATATAACTGATACTAAAACACAACTCTGTTATCAAAACATAGTCCGGAACTCCTCTATTGATCAGTTTTTACTCTGATGGTAAACAAGCTTTGTACTGTTAGTGCACTGTAGATTTCTTCAACATCTTAACTAACTAATGTATGAAACAGGTTGTTAGATGTTGCCTAGAGCATGCAGCAGCAGTTGCTAAGACCTTCCTAATATCTGATGCCGTTGTTATTGACATCCCCGAACCGGTATCCAGACAGATGAGAAGACCACCAATGCCAACTTCAGGTACCTTTACCAACAAAAATACATAAGTAAATTCTCTAAAAGCCTCTTTCCATCTCTATGTGTGGTCTGATTTGAATAATATAACTCCCAAATCCGATGTTTTTATCACATAAATGATTTGCAGGTGCAAGGCTCACTGATCTCACAGGTGATGGAGCCAGAATTTTCACTAAGGGAAGTCAAAATATAAAGAATAGCACACAAAGAAGACAAGGGAATTTAACAATATAGTACACACACAAAAAAATATCCTAGCTACACAGTGCAATTTTCCAGCGTAGAGGACACCCCTTGGACCAAGGTGGTTCCGCCACTGGCAAGTGGTTGTTCGTGCAGACATAAATGAGATGGTTAATTATTTTGCCCATCATAAGATGCCAACTTCTGAAAAGAGTTCTGCAATGATTCCTAAAAAAAACTCAGCTTTGAAGAAATTAGATTGATGGTTTATCCATCAGTTGACACGTTCCTTCTGGAATCTCAAATGGTCAAATCGCGCTTACAGGATTATGCTCGAGTAGCAGTTATACATGTTAGATGCCTAGGAAATATTTGTAAGTATCTAATATGTATGCCAACCAAATTTCTGAAAGAACTGATGAAACAGCAATCCATGACAATGAATGTGGATTGTGTACGAGCAATCAGTTTCATAGCTGGATATAGTATTTTTTTTTTTCCACATATGTTGTTCTGCTCAGATCACTAGAAACACATGTTTCTATTACTAAACTAATTCAATGTAACATCACCAAGACTTATTCTCCTATTGAACTTTGATATGCAAAATGTAGTATATGTTTCTGTTGAATTTTCATATGCAAAACTATATAGAGTAATTGGAAAAGGTTATGCTTTAGAGTAATTTATTCCCAAACACAAACAAGGTAAAAGGCATTTGTATGTTATTGTGTACAGGCTAGCATAATTATGAATTTTGGCAATGTTTCTGAAGTAAATTGGTGTATATTTGTCATATATTTTCTCTTGCCCTAAGAAGCGCAGGGAGGGTATAATACTGATAAAATGCTTATGTATATTCAAAAAAGCACCCACGTATTATTTATGATCGCCTAAATATTCTCCGAGTGATCGCTTATTAGTTATTACCAGGATCGTTTCTTTATAAAGTGGGAGATTCTGGTTAAATCATAGATCACCTATGTGTTATCTAAAAATCGCCCATGTATATTTATGATCGTCTAGTTGATCTCCGGTTGATCGCTTATTAGTTATTTTTAGGATTGTTTTTTTTTTAAATTTTAAGATTCTCGTGAAATCACATATCCCGTATGTTTTTTATCTAAAGATCGTCATGTATTTTTTTATGACAACCTAAGTGATCTCAGGTTGATCGCTTATTAGTTACTATAAGAATCATTTTTCTATAAAGTAGGTGATCCTGATGAATCATTTATCGTCTATATCTTGTCTAAATATCTCCATGTATTATTTATGGTCGCATAAGTAATCTCCAATTATTATCAGAATCATTATTTTGTAAAGTGAGAGATCCTGGCGAAATCATAGATTGCCTTTTATGCTATTCAAAGATCGCCCACATACTATTCATGATCGCCTAAGTGATCTTCGGTTGATCATCTATATATAGTTATTACCAGGATCATTTCTTTATAAAGGGGGAGATCCTGGTGAAATCATAGATCACCTATAAATTATCTTAAAAATTGTCCGCATATTATTTATAATCGCCTAAGTGATCTCCAGTTAATCGCTTATTAGTTACTACTAGAATCATTTCTATAAAGTGGAAGATTACGGTGAAATCATAGATCGCCTATTTTTTTTTAAATTAAAGTCCAAAAGTCTCATATTGATGAAAAAAAATAAGAAACACAACGAATTCCTCCAATTCAGCTTAACACGAAGGAAAACTATTTCAAACTTGAAACGGGAGGATCTTCTCCTTTTATTTTATATAACTCTTGACCAAGAAGAACTCCAAACACTAAATAAGGTGATCTTCTGATCTTGACCATTGGACGTCACTTTTCCTTTTCTATTGACATTCTGATGCTGAAAGAGAATGGTGAGGAAAAGGTTTTGAATTAAAAATGATGTGGTCTCTCAAGACAGTGGCTTGCTATGTTGCACGGGCTCTCCAAAATGTTGCCGCACCCGTGTCGAATCCTCCGAAAATACACTACTTTTGAAGGATCCGACACGCACCAGGCAACATCTTTGGAGAGTCCGAGCAACATACGTGGCTTGTTTAGGTTGTTGACTAATCCTCATGGCCTCATACACTACTTTTGAAGGATCTCACACGCACCAGCAACATCTTTGAAGAGTCCGAGCAACATAAGTGGCTTGTTTAGGTTACTGACTAATCGTCATGGCCTCACAGAGCACTCTCTATCGCATCAATACAATAGCCAATGGATCTTCTCGAGTTCATGGCCTCTGCTAATCTTGATCGAGCCCCGTGATGATGACATAATAATGACAAAGTGGTAATTACAGCCCATCTTATCACAGAGTCAGCTTCATTCTCATTAAAGCACAACCATCTTAGCACTCTGTCCAGCTGTTGAACATCTGAGTGAAGTAATTCTGAGTATCCAAATACCAGGTGCTCCGCTACTAACCCTCCCAGTATCACACACAAAAACTTGTTCAAAGTCCGGGATGAGATGTTGGCCCTGATTTCCTTGCCTTGGGTAAACTTTTTGCTAGATATAGTATCAATGTCAACTTGTTTGAGAAATTCAAAGCCAAGAAACTGCACATTTCCTTGAGCAAACTTGTCATGTATAATATCTTCTACATTAGGTACTTGATAACTTCTTGGTAAGACGCCGACCAAGTAACCAACAAGAAAATGCCCAGCCTCATGCTGCAAAAAATGCACCTCCTGAGCTAAAGGTATATTATATGAGCTCCATCATTTAAAATCTGTATAACAAACAATAGCAAAAATTGAATGTAGAAAGAGCAAGAGTTGAGATAACTTACTGGCAACATTGTGACTTGGCATGTATTGAGATTCAAGTGTGCAAAAAAACTAGCTACTAACAGAAGAATTAAAACATGTATGCCAGTGGGCAATGCCTAAATATGTCAAATATATCTGTTTCGATTAAGCAAGTTGCACGCGGACCTAGAGCATTGAATATGGTTCCCGGAACCCAGTAACTATTGCATAGATCCTGTATTTATATAATGAAAATCAACTAAATATTTCTAAATATTTAACTGTGAACCCAATCATTATGGCATATTAATTTGAGATTACGGTAAGAATCCATAAACATTAAATCCTGGATCCGCCTTTGCCACTAATGCCCTTAAGGAGACACATCCCCGCACGCTAGTGAATTGGATGTGACACACTACGCTAATCTCACGTCGATAAAACACGAGAGAGATGTTGGGCATATAAACAGGCTACCCTAGTGATGTGTTTTAAAGTCGTCCGGGCTTAGAGCTGTTATATGTTGGGTATATAATTAAACATGCTTTAGACCCTAGTAACGCGTTTTAAACGTAAAAATAGCACGGGCTAGCCAATTTTCGGACTGGTCATTCAAAAATAGCCAGCATTTGCAAGGTCATTGAAAAATAGCCACTATTTTGCTGCAACACGGAAAGTTCCAGCATAATATACTGGAGATCAGTGCACCTATGTATGAACTTCCAGCATATTATGCTGGAACTCCAACACGCGAAAAGTTCCAGTATAATATATTGGAGTTCCAGTATATTATACTGCAATACCAGTATATTATACTGGAGTATTTTTCCGGATTTTAAACAGTGTTTTCGTTCAGATTTATCTTTACATAAAAAGTGGCTAAATTTCGATTACTTTTGAAACTGTGGGTATTTTTAAACGACCACTTGTAAATCTGGCTATTTTTTAATTTCCGTGCAGCCTCATCCCAGACAATATCATTGGGATCATCTGAATATTGCTTTATGAAGCACTATTCGAAGTTCTGATAATGAAAACTGATAGGAGTAGCAAATTGTCATTGTTCTTTCAGTTAAAAAAATCCATCATATTATTAAAAAGTCTTACTTGCAAACACATTTGATGATCTTCATAAGGAGGATCATAATTTTCACTCCCCATAGAATCTTCTATTCCCGTCAATAAGACATCCTCATCTACCCGAGCAAACTCGATGCTATGTTTAATTGAACGCAGAATCGAATCAGCTAAAGATTCAAAAGACGCTGAATTATCCATATGTAGTTCTTGTGTTGGTATTCTTTTAGGCACCACCAGTTTAACAGAGCCGAAACCAAGTAGGCCTCGGGGTTTGTGCTGTAATTGCTTCAAAAGAGAGTGAGCGGCCTTGTAATTTCCCTTTTCTAACTCATTATCAAACCTTCTCAGTGCTCTACGACGTCGTATTGCTTCGGACTCCTTCTCCCTCGCCGTCCAAACGAAGGCTCGAACCACCGGAACGGAAAGCTCTCTCACCGCCAAATTCATTCGTTTTAATCAATTTTAAAAGAAGGGAGAGCTCAATTTTAATCAATTTTCCTCAGCTTTTATGGTGTGGCTGGAAATGGAGGAATGGTAGCGGTCTGTTTGTTTTGTGTCTTCAAATAGGGGATTGTTATACAAATAGCCAGTCAAATTCACTGTTTACTTTTTCAAGCTGTTATACATAAATTATATATTAATTATACACATATTATACATGAATTTTATATATTATATATTCGTCGACTATTTTTAGTTTAAGAAATTAGGTGGATGGCTATTTGGGTTAATTCTTCAAATAGGTTTTTATAGATCGTCCATGAGTTATCTAAAAATTGTCTATGTATTTTTTTATGATCGTCTAAATCATCTCTGGTTGATCGCTTATTTGTTATTATCAGAACAAAACAGGGTAGCCCGGTGCACTTAAAGCTCCCGCTATGTACGGGATCCGGGGAAGGACCGGACCACAAGGGTCTATTGTATGCAACCTTACCCTGCATTTCCAGAACAACTTTTTTATAAAGTAAGAGATCCTGATGAAATTATAAATCAGGTATGTGTTATCTAAAAATCACACATGTATTATTTATGATAGTATAAGTATCTCATGTTAATCACTTATTAGTAGAGTCATTATTTATAAAGTGGGAGATTCTGGTGAAACTATAGATTGTATATATATTATCTATAACTTGCTCATGTATTATTTAGCATCACTCAAGTGATCTCCGGTTGATCGCTTATTAGTTATTACAAAGGTATTTTTTTCTTAAATGGAAATCCTGATGAAATCATAAGTCGTCTATGTATAAAAATTGCTCATATATTATTTATGATCGCCTAAATAATCTCTGGTTGATAGTTTATTAGTTATTACCAAGATCTTTTCTTAAAAATGGAAGATCTTAATGAAATCATAAATTGTCTGTATATAAAAATTACTGATGTATTATTTATGATCACCTTAACGATCTCCGGTTGACGAAAGTACTTACCAAAAACCTTTGCCCAATTGAGTAATTTTATTCATTGTAGTGGAAAGAAATGTACAATTAATCACTTAACAAATTCCTTAAATAAATTACAACAAACAAAAAAAATAGTATCTCTCTTTTTCATCACCTATTCTTTTTCTTTTTCCTAGAATACACCATACCTCGGATCCCATCCGGATCCGCAACAAAACCCAAAGGCCTATAAAACCCAAGAACCCGGGGCTCCGAATAAAGAGCAATATTAGTAATCCCTTTTCCTAACAGTTCGGTAACTAATCTTTCCATCACAGCTTTACCTAAACCAATCCCTTGGAAATTGGGGTCCACAACAACATCCCAAATTATCGCATTAAAAACGCCGTCGCCCGTCGCTCTAGCAAACGCCACTGGCCGTTTAGTTTTCTCGTACTCGATCCACATAATTGAATCTGTGTTCTCTAAAGCCAACTGAATCTTTGTCGTGTCGCGTCTAGGGAATCCGACGGCTACGAAGACGGAGTTAAGGTGGTCGAGGTTGAGATTTGTGATCGAACGGTGGAGATTGAATCCTTTTGATTTGAGAGATTCATCGGGGATTGAGATGTTTACGGTGGTGGGGATGGGTTGGTATTGAGAGGAAACGGTGACGTTTCGGTGGTGGTGGTGGGTGGTGGGTTTGAGGGTTAGGGGGTTGGGTAGGTGGGTGGAGATGGGGTTATAGAGAAGCATTGTACATGATGGATTTTGGAAAGAAGAAGAAGAAGTATATGGCTAAGTTATGTGTGAGTTAGTAATTGAGTATACGTAGATAGGGCTTTTTTGGTTTTGAAGTCTGTGGTTCTCATGCAACGTTGTCTTTTTCTTTTTTTCTTTTTCCTTTAATTTTTTGGAAATTTAAAGCTCGCGTAGGATCCAATATTTGAACATTACGAGCACAGATCGGAGATTTGAAAATTGAGGGTACACTTTTGGATTCAATTAAAATTTGTTTTGTATATAAGGTGTCACTATTAATATATATATATCGAACTTTATGGGTTTCGGTGACCCTCTCGATCGGTGTAGCGTAGGTCTGCCTCTTATTACGAGTCCGAGCTCAGATTTTACGTAACAATTTGAGTTACTGGGTTTGATATCTATCATTTGTATTTATTGAATTTTTTAATTCATATATATATATATGGTTGGAGCCACAACTGTTAGGATCGAATGAAAGTTATAAAAGATAGAGAAGGAGCAAAAAATATTCTGATTTAAACATAAGAAATTAGTTTTTAGACAAAAAATTGAGAATTAAATATTGTTTTAAAAGAGGAAATAATAATATTTGTTCACCTAACCTCGTGGCGGATCATGACCCTTTGAGTGTATTTTTCTAACCAGCCTACCCAACCACAAATAATTAAGGAAGAATGACACAGTTACCCACCAAAATAAAACTATTTACCGTTGTCTACCCATTTGTTTTTCTTCCTACAAATTAATTACATTTACTACCCATTGTAGTTTTTGTGGAGAATTTTTTTTTTATTCTCCAATTCTTTTTTATCTCTATGCTTCTTTTTTTTTCTTTTCTCCTTTTCTTTTTTCTCGTTTTCTTCTTATTTTTTCTTTTTTCCTTTTCTAATTTCATTTAACTTCTTTTTTATATTCTTTTTCCCTTCATAATCTAATTTCATTTACTGTTTTCACTATTTTTTATTATTTTTTTATATTATTACTAAAGAAAAATCAAATTGTGTACCAATTAAATGTAGCTAATACAACCAAAAAATATTAACTAACATATGATATCAGTATAGTATATAGCTATACCAACAGGGTATACAATTGTACGCAGAGAGTTAAAAAAATTTTAATTCAACTATTAAGCTGAAATAATATCAATTGTCAATAAAAAACTCAAAAAAATACTAAAAGGGTCTAATTGTAAGAGTATACCGTTATATTATATAGCATACTATAATTTTATTTTATTTTTGCATTTTCAATTTGCCCCTCACGACGGGTAAAAGCTTAAAGCAAATTAAAAAGGAAAAGGCAAGTGAATTTACGGGTAATAAGTATACTATTATAGTATATTGTATACTATTACAATATTCTGTTACAATATATTGCATATTATTACAGTATACTCATTACAACAAAAGTGATATTTAGCTACAAAATTAGCAGCCACGACATAAAATTCGTCACTAATTGCTAATATTTCGTGACAAAAAATACATTTCGTCGTTAAATAAACAAGCCACATATTTTTAGTGACGAAATACAAAATTTTGTAGCAAAGTTTTGACCACTTAAGTTTCCCACCAAAAATTGAATTGGCGCCAATTTTCAGTAATATTAGTCACGAATTTGAATTTATCGGCGACACATTATTTTGTCACTAATGATGTACTCAATTAGTGACAAGCATTATTTGCCTTAAAATTAATTAAATTTTGGACACGAAAAAGTTTCGTCATAAAAGATACATTNGGATTCAATGGTGCAGCTGCCGGAATCATCTCATCGCCGCGGCAAGGTTTAGGCATGGTGGTGATAACGGAGGAAGATCTACGCACGATATAGGAAGGGGATTCTCGATCAAGAAAAACGTACTGGAAAAAGGAAATATATCCTAGGAAGGGAGTGTAAGTAGTCAAAAGTTCCGGTTAAGTTAAACCCCTCCCCTATTTATAAGGATTGGGAAGCGCAAGAATCGAAGAGTCAGAATTTGAACCAGCGCGGGAAACCAAGCGCCGGAATTGCTGAGTTCCTACCTCGAGAATATGCGTAATGATGACATCTGCAGTTGTCAACGTCACATCAGGGAAGGCACCACGCCTTGACGGCCTGACTGTCATGATGACTGCCTCCTATATGTCACGTCACGGTCCCCCAGCGGGGTCAAACTCCCTAAAGAACGAGGGCATCAATTCCGCCCATCAAGGACGCATCATACTGCGACCTCGACGGGCGGAGGGACTAACTGTATAGGGTCGAGTTTGACCAACCACGTCCTCGAAATGCCTTCGACCTGTCGTGTGGACAAAGGTCGGGCCCAAGGGACGACCATGTAATCACGTCGGCCCCTCTGTAACGTGCACTCTATCTTTAGTTTATATATTTTATCTTTATATCGTAAATAGGAAAAAAGGGAAAATTCCTCCGCTATATAAGGGGAGTTCCCAACTGTGTAAAGGGGGAGGATCTTTGATCAATAATATTTCTACTTACTCTCTCTATCTCTCTGTCTCAATTTCTCTCTCTCTCTTTCTCTGAAAAACGGATACCTCTGATCTTTGTAACATTATCACGCAACTTTATCCTTTAGCTGCTCTGAATCACCAAACCACAAAGGATTACTCATACTCTAGTGTCGATTGTCTTTGATTACGATTTATCCCTTTTCATACATTTGATTGATTTGCTTAAACACTGTTTGTTAACCTTTTAAGTCAAACAATATTGATCTTTATATAATTCTATACTTTTTGGTAAAGAATTAAGCTATGGGAAAAAGAAGCATACTGTTGAAGGAAAAACCAAAACCTGTTGCCAATTGGCTGGAATTAGATAAGCTGTATTGGAGGAAAAGACCATTGTTGCTTATCTTTAATTCCCTTTTATTACTCTCTCTATTTTTAATTTTATTCCTTTTTAGGAATTCGAAAGGTTAATCTTATCTTACATAATCTTTAGGCTTTTCAGTTAACTTATTGAGCAGCACCACTAGCTAGTCCACTATTAGTCTCCAGAATCATGTGATGGCTGTCATCTGTCAATGACGTTGTTGCATGCATGCAAAAAATAGTGAATGTTGATGTCATTTAGGAGATAGGGCGATAACGTCGAATGGTAGGGCAAGATTGTAGGTTTGTGAATAGGGGTGGCAAAATGGTTCAAACACTATAACAAAAGTGATATTTAGTTACAAAATTAGAAGCCACGACATAAAATTCGTCACTAATTGTTAATATTTCGTGACAAAAAATACATTTTGTCTTTAAATAAACAAGCCACATATTTTTAGTGACGAAATACAAAATTTTGTAGCAAAGTTTTGTTCACTTAAGTTTCCCACCAAAAATTGAATTGGCGCCAATTATTCTGTAATATTAGTCACGAATTTGAATTTATCGGCGGAACAATATTTTTGTCACTAATGATGTACTCAATTAGTGACAAAGCATTATTTGTCTTAAAATTAATTAAATTTTGGACACGAAAAAGTTTCGTCATAAAAGATACATTTTTACAATAGTGACGAATTAGAGTTTGTAGTTAAACAAAGCAACATTTAGCCACAAAAATTTATATTTATTTGTGACCTTAATTTTTATCACTAATAGTGCAAATAATTAGTGAAAATTATTTAATTGTCTCTATTGAACCTACAGTTTAATCACAAATTTTTTTTTGTCACAAAATATACCATTTTTAATTTGCTACACTACAACAAATTTGATTATCAATGACGAATTATTTTGTCACTTAAAAGACAATTTCGTGGTTCATCGCCAAATCAAGTTATATTAGTGACGAATTTTTTTTCGTTCCCAAATGCCTAGTGTTTGTGACGAACTTGTTCGTCAAAAATAGTATAAAAAATTTGTCGCTAATAACGTACTTTTGTCACTAAAAAGATTATCAATGCCGTTGAAACTACCTTGTCACTAAATATTTAGTTTGATTAGTGACGATGTCAATTGTCTCTAAAGTTATATGTATTTCTTAGTTAAATTAACATTATTTCGTCACCAAACACTACCTTTTATGTACAAAAAATATTTCGTCCCCAAATATATAAATTAGTGACAGCTTTGCTTTTACAAAAATAATTTACAATTTGTAGTTGAAAACTATTATGTCGTCACTGAAAATCATATTTTTTTTACAATATTAATTAAAATTATCATAAATTACGAATCGTAAAAAGATAATTCTCGAACACGTAATATTTTTGTAACTAAATGTTGTCAGTTTATGATGAACATTTGATGACGTCAAAATCCATAGTGGTACTATTTATAAGTAGAATTTACCTAATTTCCCTTTAATTCAAGAATTTATTATTTACTAAAAGGAAATAACATAATAAAACATGGAAGGTAACAACAAAAATTCTCATCCATGATCACATAATTAAGAACTAGTACTATATTGAGATAATATCTCATTACAAACTCCTTAAAATAAAACACTAGAATAAAACAAAATTTATTCAACATGAGGTTAAGTAGAAATACAATAATTTAGTAATAAACTGAAGAAAAAAATATGCTGCTTCCTTCCTCAAACGCTAATGTAACCACTTTTCTTGTAACTTTGCTCTTGAATAAATTTTAAACTTTCATGTACCTGTGGAAGAAAAAAAATAAGTTTAGTACATTTGATAACATAATTTATCAAAAATATATTTTTAGACATTAGTCATATCATATTTTAATTTGTGAAGAAATTAACAGAATGACAAATTAGTACTGGCCGGTGATCACGCCCAATTATGCCTTATAAAAAGGACTCTGCGGACGTTGCAAATATAACCCGAGTATTACGCCCAGGGTCGAATCCACAGAGAGTTAACCTATCAACTGCTACCTTCAGACCCACTAAGTCTTCAGAACCAGCTTCCCAAATATTCAAATCTCAGTTGAGTGTTCTTTAACAACTAGCTTGCAAATAACTAACTGGCTGTAACTAAGTAAAAATAAAGGTCGTAAACAATTATGAGAAAACAAGCTAAGGCAATGATTTCTCCTATTGATGGAATCCCTTCTGTTTATGCTCATACAAATTTACCAACACA